AATGCATAAATAAAAAGATACATAAACTGTGAAATTTTTTTCATATTTTAAAATCAAATAAATGACAAACATTATCTTTTAAAATAAATAATGATAATGATTATAACATTGTATTATCAAAACCGATAAGGTATGTAAACTTTGTTTTCCTTTTCAAATCGATAATGAAGAAAAAAGTCTAATTGGTGAAAAGATGATATATACAAATCATGATTTTAGAAATCTGATATATACAAATCTTAGTATGCAGTTTCAAACAATTTAATAATGTAATAATAGGCTGAATGAATTATGATTCAGATTCATGCAAATAAAATTTTGAACAGATTTCTAAAATCATGATATATACAAATCATGATTTTCCTTGGAGATTTATTCGGATTTCCAAATTGTTTGGAAATCACAATTTCTAAAAATCATGATTTATTCAGATTTACATTCGGATTACCAAATAGTTTGAAAAAATAGGAGATTTATTCGGATTTTGATTCCTTATTAGTTACCAATATAAAAGTATTTCATGTTATTAATTAAAAAAAAAAAGAAAAAGCTGATTTACTATTTTAGGAGATAATTAATGAAAGTGGCGAGAAATTATTTCTAAATTTGATTTATGTTAATCCTTATTATATAAGATTAACATATATGTTAACATATAAGTAACATATATATTACTTTCACGTAAATACTAATATATATATAAATTATTTCTAACAATTATTAGAAATATGATTGATTCTTAAAAAGAATCTTTAATTGACAATTATTAATTAAATATTTTATATTGTATTTTAAAATTTTTTATAATTACGTATGGTGAGTGTATTTCTTAAATTATTTTGACAAATCCCATTTTAGATGGTGTTCATTTATGTAACACCTTTTTATGTCCTAAACATATAAATATTTTTGTTTTTTATTTTGATGCTTTATATTTTTCGGTATTATATAAATACATATTTCACAAGTAATTAAGAACTACAAATATTTACATTTTCTATTGTAGTCTTACAATAATAAAAAGTTATTTTTTGGATATTACAAAGATACATCAAATATTTTGAAAAATAAAAGTGATTTCTAACATAGAAACCACGAATGTTGTATCTAAAAGAGTGTTTGATAATTTTTAAATTTATTTCTTAAAATTATTTTTTCTCATTTATTAAATTATAATTTTTATTTTATTATATATTTTTAATTACTTTCTATGTTATTATATCGCTCTTTGTGCAATATAGGTAAAAGTTAAAACTAGTCAGGCATCATGGTGAGGCTCAAATGAAGTCTAAATGGAATCAAATGAAATCCCAAACACTGTCCAATTAAAGCCACTGCAACTTCATAAGAGTCTTTCAAGCGCTGCAACACTCTAGAGCAAAATGCTGGGGTTGTGTGAAATTTTTGCTCCAATGTGTGCTCAAAACTTTCACTACATCAGATATAGGAACAGTGTTGCGCCAATTGTAGTGCAACACTGTATCGAGTGCCACATTTTTTCTTTTCTTTTTTTTTTTGGTTTTTTGTTATGTAATATTAGTGATAAATTTTTATATAATTGTGTATTAATAAATGTATTCTTATGCTAAGTAACTTTGTGCAATGAGTTTTTTTGCTAAATAATTTTGTGATTTTATTTATTGCTAAATAAACATTTATATAAGATTACAAATTAATATATATAAAAAATTATTTAAATTAAAAATAAATAAAAATATATTTTTATTATTTTAGTAATAAAATATATTTTTATTAGATATACATATAAAAAATTTATTTAAATTAAAAAAAAATAAAATATATTTTTATTATTTGAGTAATAAAATATATTTTTACTAAATATATATATATAAAAAATTTATTTAAAATAAAAATAAATAAATTATATTTTATTAAATATATACCAAAAATAAAAAAATGAATAAAAAAATAATACAGGCTGTAGAAATAACGAATGTTCAACTATACTTTAGACTAGAGTAAAATCCGCGTTATAATAGAGATAAGAGCTGGAGATGAATATTCAACTACATTTTTGATTAAAGTAAAATTCGCGTTAGAGTAAAGATAAGGGCGGAAGATGACCTAACCATTCTCTCAATTTCGTCCGCCCACCCTTTCAGTAATCCAAGAAAAATCTTGAGAATTTATTTGGATACAATTAAATCATTTGATGAGTAGCAACTAAAAGTTTAACACTTACCAATAATAATACCCTGAAATGTAAACTACTGTGTTCATTGATATTTGTTTGTTGAGTTCTTGCAATTTTAATGTTTTGTTGTTTTCTTATGAACTGATTAAAAAATATTTATTGTGTAGTTATACATATTGTAATTGAGAAATTATTGAATAAATAATAACTGCATAAATATGGTGATATAAGTACAAATTAGCTGAATCAACAAAACATAACATCATGCATATAACTATTTGAATTTGTGGTTTTTTTTTTTAATATGCTCTTTTACTTTATTATAAACGAATAAATCTACATATATAAATTGTATGGTACAATTTAAATGAAAGTGTTATTATTTTAACATTCAGTTTATGTAGATTAAACATTAATTCACTGTTTGACATCTATATATATATATATAAAAAGAATTAGCATTTACTAAAAATAGTAGCAAAAATTTAGGAAACATTTAATGCAAACTATTTTTGGAAATTTTTTAAATATATGCATTAATTGTTTCTATTTGCACGTTTTCAAATAAGATCAAATAACATATGATCAAATAATTACTTAAATAAATTTATTAATATCTGCAGTATTTTCATTGATATTTATTATAATAAATTACATGTGATTTTCGTGATTCATGTTGATAATATTTTGGTCAAAATAAATATTATTTTATTAATATTTGTAATACTTTCATTGATATTCATTATAATAAATTACAAAATTGATTTATGCGATCCATGTTGATAATATTTTGCTCAAGATTATATTACACCATATTTTAAGTTTTGACCATAATATTAGTTTTTTTTTCCACAAATATTCACTTTTTATCCAAAATATTAATGGAAAATCGTAACAGGTTAGGGAGAATTGTTTTTCCAAGTAATTAGACAAAATCAAGTTGGTGAATTAATCTTTGTCAATATATTTGTTTCTTAAGCTTTATTTTGTTAAATATAAAAAACAAATCGTTCTTCAAATTAATATAATTTACCATTTAAGAGATAATGACCAGATACAATAGATAGGTTTACTAATGATAAAAAATTAAAATTAAAACATACTAGTATTCATCCTGTGCACATGCACAAAGAAAAATAAAAATTTATATATTATATTTATGTATACAATATATACAAATTTTATATTAAATAATTGATGTATTACATTTTAAATTTGGACTACATACAAATGTGTAATGGAAATATAATTTATTTAACTTACGTATGAATCTTTATATTGATGCCATAAATTTTAATGGCTAATATAATTTAGTAATTTATAGAGACCATACAATTAATTAGTTATAAAAGTATTACAATTATTTTTATCATTGTTATAGCATTTGTTTATGTGATTTTAAGGTGCTTAATTATGACACTCATGCCAATTAACTTATTAGATAAAAATCGCTTAAAAAGAACAAAAATATTTTATTGTAGAAAAAGTATTTTAAAGAAAAAAATTGCAATACAATTTTTTATAAGTATGTAACTTCCACTATTTAATGTAAAGTTGTAATCAATTAGTGTTAGTAGTGAATAAATTATATTAAAAGTATTATTACACCTTATTAATGTAAAATGTAACGGTTCTACATTAATTGAAAAAATGAGCGGGAAAATGAATGGATGTTTTATTAAATGTTTTATTAAATTCTATATACCAGCAATTATATATATATATATATAGATTAACTATCGTTTAGAATTTATTCGTATATTATTGACACCCATGATTATATTTTTTCATTTTTGATTTTGATTTATTTCTATAATTAAATTCTTGTAAAATATATTTTCATTGCTCAATATGTTAAATAAACCATAAATCATTATAATGCGAATTAGAAAAATCTTGATCATAGAGGGGATCGAGTTTTTGGCATTTTCTAAATCAAAATTGTTTAATTAGTATACGAAATTAAATTCTAAAAAAACATGTATATATTTTGTAAAATATTTATACACTATTTAATATTAAATTTATTTACATATTTTAAATTGATTACATAAATAAATAATACCAACGTGCATTAAATATTTTCCATTACATAAAATAAAAAGAAGACGTCAACTTCTATAGCTTTATAAATAATAATGATATTATATGACATAAAGTGTATAATAAAATAATAATTAAGTATTATATGGTAAACAAGAATAAATAAAATTGTTATTTTCTCTTATATCAAGGAATAAATATATATACTAAAATTAGATTTAAATTAGGATGACTGTGTTAGTGAAATAATATATTAATTATTTTAATATTTTGACTAAAAAAATAACGTTGATTAAAAGAGGTGCAAAATATATTTCATAACCTTATTGTTTATTATACTTAACGCTGATTAAAAGAGATGAAAAATAAATGATAATCCTATTGTTTATATACTTAAACGGACAAATCATGTGAAAATAACTCATTTAATGTTTATGTCACGTGCATCGCACGGGGTACGTACTAGTGTGTTCAAATTCAATTAATGGTGAAAGTTGAGCATTGAGTGTGGAGCTTATCTTTTGTTTGGGTTGGTGGTGCCTTGTTTAGTAGCTCGTGTAATCTCTAGGCGGTCTTCGCGATTGTCCTCTCAATAGAATTTTATAGTTGCTTTATTCAGCTCGTGGGTTGTCTTCTATTTGTAATTATGTGTTTTTTTATGAAATTTTCTTATCATTTCATAAAAATAAAATTCAAATTATCGAATTTAAATATGAGCTCAAGTTTCTTTCTCGCACAAATTGACCGGCCAATTCTAGGGTTTCAAAAATCAGTTTAATAGAGCTTCTGGAATAAATCAACCATGCCGCTCAATCTCCCGGCGCTACTCCGTTCAATTCTATCACGCCCACGCCCACGCCCACGCCCAAATCAACACCTCGCGAATTTCAGCAGCCTTGCAAATACAAGACCCGCCGGAAATTCGCCGGACAAAAGCCTCGTCGTCTCCTTCCTGGTCGACTCATGTGGATTGTCTCCGGAGGACGCCATTGCTGCTTCGAAGAGCGTGCATTTCGACACACCCGTCAAGCCTAACGCCTTTCTGGATCTTCTGAAAAATGAGGGTTTCACAAAACCCCAAATCTCCAGTATCGTTAGGTCACTCCCCAGGTTACTTCTGTCGAAACCGGAAAAGTCAATCCTTCCAAAGATCCAATTTTTCGAGAAGTCATTGGCCTGTGTCCCCAAGGAGAAGGTTCTCGACACTATCTCGAAATACCCTTTTCTCTTGATCAACAGTTTGGAGCACAAGCTCGCTCCTAACATGGATAAGCTAAAAAATCTGCTCGGCCCTGAAAAGGCCGCCTCTCGCTTTGGCCGCGGATTGTATTTTTTAACCTGGGTCAACAACCAGGACAAGTTCATCTCTAACATGGACCACCTGCGGGAGATTGGGGTGCCTAGCCGGATACTCGAGAAGTCCATCTTTCTGTGCCCTGGAATTTTTTCATTGGAACACTCTGAATTCAAGAAACTCGTGCAGGAAGTGAAGGGAATGGGTTTCAACCAGTCAAGATTGGCGTTTTTCATGGCCATGCATGCTCGTTCGGGGAAGTCCTGTTTGGCTCTTTGGGACCGGTGCTATCAAGTTTATCAAAAATGGGGATGGTCGAGGGAGGACATAATGGTTGCATTCTTGAAGCATCCCAATTGCATGCTTTGTTCGGAGAAGAAGATCACGGATGTTTTGGAATTTGTGGTTTGTGAGTTGGGCAGGGAGGCTAGGTCGGTTTCTAGGTTCCCAACTATAATCTTTTTAAGTATGGAGATGAGGATAGTCCCAAGGTGCACGTTTGTTCGTGACTTGGCTTCAAAGGGTTTGGTCAAGGAAGATTGGAAGTTGAGAAGTGTGCTTGTCCTGAAGGAGGAAGATTTCATGAAGAGGTATGTGTTGCGGTTTGCCAGGGAGGCACCGGAGCTTTGTGAAACTTACGCGTTAAGGAAAGCACGGGCTAGAAAGAATTTGGGTTTTGTCAAAATCATGTGTTAGCATAGTGTGAGTGATTGTTGGGAGGAATTTTGCTGGAGGTTTGTTTGAGGTGCAATGATTTTGAGCAAAAACGGGCTTCTCTAGTTGCAATCTGATAAGATTTTAGCAATTGTTCCATCTTCTATAGGTTTTGTTCTTGTTTGTGCTATTATCTTTATTGAGGGTTAGTTTGAGCATTTATTCCACCTTTTCGGAACCCTACCATCTATCTTGGGGAAAGTTTCATATGCGCAGTTCGGGCTCCTAAATACATTTCATTGTTATTTGTCCTGAGGGCTTTGTCATTTTTACTCGTTTTCAAGTGCTAACGACATACATGAGAGCATGCAAATCTGTTTATGGAGCATTATATTAAGCCATCGATTGTGACTTATCAAAGAGAATGTGCTCATACAGCAAACAAATTTCAAAAGGTCTCGGTCGAGGAGTTTCTGGAGATTTATGAACGTAAGTTTTTGATGTGAGATCAAAACATCCTACGCGGCATTTGGACGATAAGGTAGTGTCAGGAAGATTTTTATTTATTTTATAGTAAACAATTGGGGACAATTCTGAATTTGAGTGACTGATTCACTTTTCTCTCTGCCTATCTGATGATTAAAACCAACATTTTGCATTTATTCAGGTTATTTATCCTGGATTGGACTTGCAAATTCTTTGTTTTACTGTATACCTTTCATGGAGAATTCCGTAAGATAGATGTTGGTTTAGCTTTGATTAACCTGGTGTAGACGATGTTTGTGTGTTATGGGTGATTATCATTTGAGATCAGGTTCCTCTGTTTTACTCGTACCTTTATTGTGGATTCTAATAACCATTTTTCTTCTCTTTTCTTTCTACCTTGACTGTATTTATGGATAGAAGAACATGAGGTTGTAGCAAAAATGTGGGATTGTGAGATTGTCGTGAAAAGTGAGATATTACTATAGAGAATGCCTCGATTATCGCAATTGTGATCCACTAACGTCAAGTCGATCTAGTCAGTCGCACAATTGAAGGATGTTGCAGTTGTCATTCGTACATTAGGAGTTCACATAGAATGAGGATGAGAAGATAGATTTATGTCTGAATCTCGGTTATTAAACTGTTAAATTAAACGGAGCCGCTCGTGAGCTCAGCTCGATTTGTTTCATAAACGATCAGCTCGGCTTGATGGACCGTAAACTGGTTTATTAATCATCGTTTGCTAGTGAACTGACCAACACTGGAAGGATCAATGTGATTTTTTTAATAAATTTTGTTAAAATTATTTTAATATAAATAAAAATACATATTTAAATAAAATTGAGATTTATGAATTATTTATTATTTACTTTAAACATTTAATAATTTTAAATTGTTCGAATTAATAAATATTTTTTTATATAAATTTATCAAAAAAAAAAAAGTAA